CCAAAACCCCAAAACCCCAAAACCCCAAGAGAATATAATATGAAAAATTTTATAGAATGTAATTAAAGAGATAATCTGAATAATTGATAATTTAATATCGTAATAATAGATAAATTTGTAATGGCATTAAGCAACACAAATAACATCAATATTGAAACGAAGACTTAAAAACAGTTTAGGTCCATTCTTTAGAAGCAAACCACTAACCCGAAGAAGCCTCTCAGTTCCAACAGAGGACAGTTCAATCAAACGCAAGCGAAATTCTCAGATATATTTATTCCTGACTTTAAGAATGTGCAATTATTGAGTGACAAGCTAGAAAGTTTCTTGTGCAGTAAAGAAAAATAGAAACAAAATCTCAGAGATTTAATTCTTCCCATAAGGGAGAAGAGAAGCGCTCTGCCAAGTCACGAAAGTAGTCATATTAGGTTAGCTCCAGTGAAGTAAATTAGAGGTTCGACCTAGTCATCATACATTAAGCTTACTGAAAATCAATCAGTATTTGGCTCTGCTAAGTAAAGTTTAGACCTAGGTAAATATTTCCCATACTAGGATAACAAATCTCGGCTTCTCAGATAAATAAACACCTCCAAAAATAATAACAACAACTAGTTTACAAATGAAAGCAGTGATGAGGAGGTGGTGTTCAATAATATCTCGCATAGAGACAATAGTGATTAATAAAAATCAAAGTTAAATATTCCTCAAATGAGCCAAGAGTTAGATCATAAAACCTCTAATATTATGTAGCTTTACTTTAAAAATTGTAGTGGATTTTATAATAATGGAGGTAGCAAAAAGCAGGCATCTCCTTCATTATAACATAAAATGCAGAGGAATAAAGATAAAATATTGCATAAAAGCATACGTGATGCTTCTGAATTCCTTGAAAATTATAATAAGTCTATGTAGTTGAATATAAAGCAATAGGAATTAAACTATCTTGAATCAGATTAGATAATCTTGGAGTCGTCAGAAAGATAAAATTCTACCTAAAATAGTAATCTTAAAAGACTCAGAGGTTCTTATCATCCTTAAGATATACCAACAATAAATTAACTATAGCGAGAACACTAAAAAATTCTAAAGGTGATGAAGGGCAATGATAAATTTATTTAAAGTGTTAATGTCTCCCCTAATAAGAGCACACCTCAAACAAAAAGAGATAACCAATTAAATAGAAACAATAAGACCTCATAATAGAGCTTATCAAGCCTAAGTGTTAAAGACAGAAATAGGACGCAGTTTTAAAGAAGAAAATAAAGTGTGCCTTAAGATTAGTAGAATAAGAATCAGGAAAAAATCTAGATGTTTGAGGAATAATAGAGAATCATGCTTATTCAAGAATTACCAAGAGCTAAATATCCTGATATATTAGTAATTGAAAAGTCGAATTCCTAAGAACCCTTAAATAGTTATTTTCAAATTCCTGATTCGAAGCAATACAAAAGAAAAAGATTCATAAGACAACAGCAAACATACGAGGAAGTGAACCCACCTAAGTCTTTGATTTACCGAAATGATTAAAAGTTATTGGATGAGGTTACTTAAAGCTTAGAATTTTTCAAAAGATCTAAGTAGTCCCTACAAGTATCTCATTAAAATAGTAAAGATTTAACTCCTAAGAGTGCAGCTTCTTTTCTAATTGATAAAGATGCAATGAAGAGCAAATTCAACTTCCAAGAGAAAGTAGAGGTGAAGGTGAAGAGTCCGTCTAAGAAATCTCAAACCAGAAGAGATTATCAGCCTAAGAGAGATATTTTACCTGAAATTGCGGATGTCCGATCTTCAAGGCAGCAATCAATACAAAAAGGAGAGCAAATAAATAAAATATTAAACTTTGGATAAAGCGTAGACTAGCAATTGCAGATAATGAATTAGAAAATTGACAATATATATCAAAAGATGATACCATAGATGCGAAGAGGCTCCGAGATTGGATTTACTAAGAATAAGGTTGTTCAATTTGCTTTACCCTCGTCATCATGAACTTTTAACAAAAACACAACTTTTATGAATGAGGTGGCTTAATAAAATTAATTTTAACAATTGTGACAATAAATCTAAAATAATAATTTATATTTACATTTATTCATGCTTAGCAATTTTTAGCCAATTAATTTTCATGGGGTTTTGGGGTTTTGGGGTTTTGGGGTTTTGGGG